ACATTTAATAAAAATAAGCAACATTTAGGACACGTGAGCTAAATAACAATAGTAGAAAGTTTGTAACACAAAGTGAACTAAATGAAAATGTTAGTGCCATTTTTTTAAACATTTTTACACTTGGCGCCCCGTCGTTTTATGCTAACTGTGCCTACTTATTGCAAATCCTCAAGACCCGTCAGAAAAACATTATAAAGTTTGTTTACCTTCACAGAATACTGCTGTATAGGTCAAACATGCGATTTAAGCTTCCATGTGGTTTTTGGTGCTTTGTTTATATCGGGTGTGGACCGACCACGTGCTTAGACTTTAAAAAAAAGAGCAAGGAAAAAAAACTGTAAATGCCTTAATACATTTCACAGGTTTTTGTTGTATCTAAATTTATGGAGAACACAATTTTATTGGCTAAAAATAAAACCAACATAGCTTCAGTTTAAAAAGATGACATCACAATTGGTACCTTGWTGTCTGTACCGAGCTCAGAGGTGACATTTTATTTTAGGGTGGAATTTCTTTATGTCGTACAACCTTCACACAATTAAGGCACCTTGTAAACCCTTGAGGGGTTAATGGGTTCTTCTAATAAGAAGAAAAGCGACAACACGGAACACAGAACCGGACCAAACACAAACCAGTAAAAAAAACAGAACGTAAGATCTGACAAACCAAGAGTTGGAACAGAAATATGATGGAATGTCTCTGGGTAAGCGACAAACACCAGAAGTGCCCTGTTTTTTTTTTTAGTCTCACTTTGCAACTTTACACAGCAGCACCGCATGCCTCGTGATCTCCAATAAAAAAACACCCGGATGTTTCAAAAAGCACCTTGATCTGTTCTGAATCTCACTGTGTGGCCACGTGGGAGTCAGTATCCAACGTTGAGCTTGTTCTTGTTGAGCTCCCTCTCCAGGTTTCCTATCAGAGTGTCGATGCTCTCCTGCAGGTCTCTKAGGTTCACCCTGTTGCTCAGCACGGGGCTGATGTCCTGGATCTTCACGTAGGCCTGGTAAGTGTGCTCTTTAGGCAGCCGAGGCGGCAGGATGTGATTAAACCTCCTCTCTGCGTCTTCCTCCTCCTCCGAGTGTCCGTTTAAAYCGTCACTCTCCTCGTCTTTCATTTCTTCGACTGCGTCCTCGTCCCGCACAGCCTCGTCATGTCGAGGATCAGACGCAGAGCTCGTGAGCGTCTCCTGCTCGTCGTCCTCGTCGCGGATCTCTTCTGCCGCCTCCGCGTCCTCGGAGGGCACGTCGTCGTAGTCTGCCTCCTCTTTGCTGGCAGGAAGCAGACTTTCAGAGGGGAAGTAGTTTTCGCCYCAGGTGCTCCAGTCCCCGGCGTAGCGGTTGCTGGGGCTGTCCAGACGTCCCGGTTTGGGCCTCAAGACGCCCGCCATGTCTGCCTCGCTTAGGTTCAGGACCTGGGGGCGTTCTTTCCTTCGTCTCAGAGGAGGGGCCGACGGCAGGTCAGACGGGGCTGGAGCCACGGGGGCTGCAGGAGGGTGGGTGGACGACTGGTCACAAGGGTCCACAACTAAAGCAAAACAGACAAAGAACAGAAGTTAATCAGCTGCTGCTACATGTTCCGACGATTAAGATAAACAATTWGGTCGTACAAACAGCAAAACACCCGTGGAAGGGTTAATTAACTTCTCAAACTTAAAGGAGACACATCCTGRTTTTAAATCCTTCTTTTTCACATTTKGATCATRCAGTTTGAGTCTATATAAAGTGGAACTGCAACTYTAACTCCACAAGCCCCTCTTTCACCKCTTTTCTGAGGCGTGTCTCAGATCAACTCGTTTTGACGCCGTCTCTTTAAATCTAAARGAGGCGCTTCACTCCCAGCCCCCCACCAAAACAAGCGGATTTTGCATGATGTGTCCCCTTTAGAGCACAAAGGATACTCAAAAGTCAACCAGCAGTCATCTGATCCAGGATTTAGTCTGTAYGAAATCAATTTAAGTGTTGCTTTTTAGCAGCATGTAACATGCAGGCTTGATGTAAATCAAAATTTTAAATGGGCACAGGATTTGGTAATGTTGCTGAATGCACTGTTTACAGATAAAACACAGGCAGCTTGTATCCAGATGTACAGTATATCTTTATTCTAATGTGTAAGATGTATGAGGGCAAATCCATTTACAACGCCAGTTCTGAAAGAGTTGGGACCATGCGTAAAATGAAAATGAAAGCAAACTCTAATGATTTGCAAATTTTATAAATTCTGATTTAATTCACAATGTACTGAGCCTGGCGTGAGTGGACATGGTTTTTTTTTTCTTTTTGGGTTCCCATGCAAATGTCGTTAAACACTGTTGTGCCTGCCGGTTTATTAACTAACTCACATGTTCACCATTAGCGAGTTAGCCTACTGCTTTAATTCAGCTTCAGAATGAATATATCACACAACTACGCATGGAAGTATGTCATATGTTGATATTTTAACACAGTGCAGCCACGCAATATCATTGTCAATTTCACAAACTTGTGGCGGCACATCCTGTTTTGGTAACCAGATGTTTCAAAATAAAAGTCTGATTTAATTC